GGTAGTCAGAGATTGAGTGCAGCGGAAATTGATTTAGAGGTTGAAACCTGGCTTTGGCAAAACTAATAAGTGGAAAAAGCTGCATGCCTGTCGTCCATAATTAGATAGTCCCTGCTCATCTTCAGGTCAGCATGACCTAGCACATTGTATGGTGGATAGGATACTCTTTTTAGATTATAAACAGGAAGTGGCACATTACAGTGTCTATGTATAGTTATGCTAATTTGTTTTAGTTTAAACGGGAGTTCCTTTCGAAACATGAAGGGATTAGTTCAGCTGTCATGGGAAAGATGACCTGGGCTAAGAAAACATTTGAACAATGTCATCTGTGGTCCAGTAACTGTGGGAATAAAACAGTTTCTGTCAACATCAAACACAACCTGAATGAATGCACGCAGCGAGTGATTCAAATCCACGCTAGCTGGTTCTGCATGTCATCCTCACCTCTCCTCGTCATGTTTTTGTCATTCTGAAAAGCAAAGCAATTGCAGCTAAAAACGTCTTTGTGGAGGAACAGAGAGCATTTGAAATTACATTTGTAGTGGTTACCACATTTGCCTTACATGTCTAAGATCAGGAAAGAAATCCTCAAGAGGTCACAACCTTAGTGTGCTGCTAGTCCCAGTCCCAAGCTCGGACAAATGGGAGTGTTGCGTCAGGAAGTAAAACCTGCGCCAAATCAAAGTTGTCTGCTGTGGTGACCCCGTGGGAAATAAGGGAGCAGCTGAAAGCTCCTCGTGAATTCATGCACTGCTTTGAGCTACTTTACAGATTTGTCCACGCATACTAAATTACACTAAAACAGTATCCATGACATTTTCCAGCTGGTGTTTCTTTCCCTTTCAGTGAACCAGACGTCTTTCAATTTTTCATGACGTGTCACCAGTACCATAGAGATGCTGTTGCTATGGCAGGTTTCCCACAGTAGCAAACACTCAGGCAGTTTGCTTCCCTAAAATTGAAAAGTCACTCTGCTCACAGGCTTCCCCCCCCCCTCGATTTGTTGTTCTTCACTCACCTGTTGCCATGGCAGCGTTCATATTTCCTACCAGAGCAGCATCATAGAAAGCTGCGCGTAAGCCGATTTTGAAGAAACCTAGAGACTGCATTGATTAACTCCCTGGATCAATCTGGTTTTATGAGCTTTAAATGAACTTGATTTAATGAATGTGACGTAGTGGGAATCCAAGTGCTTGCAATAAAAACATCTAGTGGGAGAAGCAGCTTCGGGGTTGCATTAAACAGAGGTGTAGCTCCAAGTTGAGGTGCTGAATACCAACACTG